TGTTGGAAATAGCAGTAGATGGCCGCACTTGATGCGGGATGTGCTCATACATGAAGGCGTCAGTAGCATATGTCTGTACCCCTGTAAGACGCGTATGCCATGCAAACTTTCTCATCCCTGTCTTTTTCTTCCCTTCTGTCTTCTCTTGCGAGAGAACATCTTCCTGTACTTTACCTCTCACCTCAAGTTCTTCATCTCAGTCGTCCTTAAGCAATCAATCACAGTCTTTCTCTTTACCTGAGAGAAACCTCCCATCTCTACTTGCGTGATTCTACTCCGCTGCGTAAACCCTCACTACCGATCATTACCTCCATATCAATCATTTTCTCAACACTCCATGTTCACTTGTAGCTTGCGCTCATGATATTGAACCGCCCGGAGATTATTAATACACCCAACGTGACACGATAATTACAGCGTACCGCGACGAACAAAAACAAAGAATATATCACCACCACCACCACCACCACCACCACCACCACCAAATTCTCGAAGCAGGACCAAAAGGTAAATTGGAACTCTTGCCGCTCAACATCATCGCACCAGCCCCCTCCTGAATTTCTACCTCGCGTACCCCGCCACGGATATGCTCTACTGGCGCAACGAACGCCGGCTGACTCCACGAGAACATCATATTCCGACCGCTAAAGATGAATACCTTGAAGCGGCCCAGGAACGCGCCGTTCTGCCACACCCTGCTCCCACCAATCCTGTTCGTCTGTACGGTTATGGTGGCAGCGGGTAGGGGGGTCGCAGGTGTGTACGTGGATGTGGTATTGTTGAGCCAGCTGCGGCCCGGGTGACCGATGTCGAAAGCGCTTTCTGTGATACTGCGGAGGAGGTACTCGAAGCCATCGGTGGCGAAGGAAAGGGTGAAGTTGGGGGGTTAGCGCTAGCGGGACGGCATTGTGGGCCAAGCAGAGGGTGGACGGGGAGGTGTAGCCAATTTTTCATGATGTGCCGTACTTCATCCCCTTGGATTTAGCTGCCAAACGGACGGCGGGGGCGGTTGGCCAGTCGAATAGTAGGTTCCCGCGATCGTAACCCTTACCTAATCTCCTATGAAGGTTCTAGTTTGGGGTGTTATTGGTTGAAGTGGATTCCGAAATTTCTAGTCTTCCAACGCTAATTTCGGGGCCGCGACGTCCGCTCCAGCTCCTCGCCTCGACGGCGGGAATACCATCTTGAATGCGATAATACGCCTCCAGCTGCGTCGTAGTGTCTGGGCCGTTGTCATTCCACGTAGCCATTATGTCACCTTTGTTTCTCCTACTCTCGACCGGAACCTGCCACTCCGCCGTCGTGTTAAAATGATTATACAGACTGGACTCCCGCTGCCAGCCATTGACATCACTAAAGTTTAGCATACGCGCGTTGCTAAAGCACTGGATATACGGCTCTGGCAGGATTGGAGTATGGCCGTTCCCCAGCCCGTATGCCCACCAATCCTCCGAATTGATAATCTCGCAGCCGCCCTTCTCCAACCGCGCGGGGTCTGACTTCCCGTATTGCCAGGGCTACGTAATTACCGTCTTGGAAATCACCGAGATATTGCTCGATTCATGGGTACTCTATATACACGCATTCTTCTCAGCGGTGGCAGAGATGAACACGGACATGGTACTCACTAGGTGGATGTACCCATCAGCCAAGTCAGAGTCATACTCGTCCGCGCCAATGCGCACCTCCCTCGTTTGAAACCAAGACAGGAACTCGCTCCGGATAGCCCTCAAGCTGGGGATGGTGTCTGGATGCGTCAGGTTCAATAAGTCTTTCTTGTTCGTCAGCGCTAGTCCTAGCTTCCACTTCGTTATTGCCAATGCATGCCCGGGAGCTTTATTTCTGGAGTTATGGTGATTCCTTGGGAAGCGCAGAGCTTTTCTATCGATTCAACCTCTACCCTGTTGTGGGGTTCGTTGTGTCTAGGGACTAGCGGATGAAGCACGGGGTTATTCGGGAGCTGCGAGAACTTGGAATAGATGTTTTGCGATGTGTTGTTGCAGCCGCGGTTCAACGGGTAGTTGTCTGAAGTGTGGTAGCGAAATTCGGATAATTTGGAAAAGGAAACATAGTTGCAGAGGTCTTTCAGGAACTGTTTTGGTTTAATTGGTTAGACTGGGGAGGTGTGTGGGATACCCCAGGGAGCACAAAAAAATAAAGCGAGCAGGGAGAACGCACACCGGCGGAATACCATTTCCTCCTTGCGTCCAGTAAGAAGGCTCTAGTCGGGTGCACCGGTGAATCCACCACCCGTCCCGCCTTCAACTCGATAATCTCGTCTCTCCAATCGCCTTGGCTAACACCGGCAACCTTTCGTGCCAGGATCAATCTCTGTCTAAGTGTCCTGGTAGCCTGCCAAATACCCCTCTCCCTACCGCCCGATATCCTCACCAAATCCTCCGCCACATCGATATTATACCTCTCCGGGGGCTCAACCCCGTTCTCGTACGTATACTTCCCTGGCTCCTCATCAATTCCTAAATAAACCCTAGGATCGCGCCCAACCCGTCAATGCTCAAAGAACACGCTCCACCCCAATGTGCACATGAAACGTGTCTTCCAAATCCCCCGCGCAGGTTTCTGCAAATTCCCACGTCGGTGGCGGGATTGATCTTAGTCCGTCCTTGTCACGGGATTCCGTGGCGGATGCCTGCAGGTATATCGTTGGTGACTAACGGGGGAAGGGTTTAAAGGTTCCTGTAGAGTATCGCCACGAGTGGTGGGAGCGCGTTGTACGCTTCTACCCCCAGGAGCGATATTGCTAGGAATGGAAATACTAGAAGTTGCATTGCGGTGGTCGTGGTCGTGGTTAGGGAATTGTGAAGGAAGAGGCGCCAGAAGCGGGGATATATAACTTAGCACTCTTGTTAGGTCGATAATCCTGTTTTATCTCCCCCTGAAGAGGGGGGTTGGAGTCAGATACGTGCCTTTGGCCTAGTACAAGTACTACTACTGCGGTTGATTGATATTACGAGGTTGTTGCTCCATCGGGTTGGTGGGGTTTGAAGCCAGGGAGTGCGGGGGGTAGATATATATATATTATACACCAACTTTATCTTTGCCGATATGCCAGCGATTGCGCCATGAAATTCGATACAAATATCCCTCCCTATTCCAGGTGCGAGAAACCGCTCTCCTACTCTCCTCCCCAGTATCATCAGGTGTCCAACCCGCCACAACACTTCTCTGGCTTTTTCAAAGTTCGCCTTCCCAACCTGAGTAGCCCCAGCATGGGTTGCACCAAACGCTCAAGGCATCGGGAAACGCCCTGTACGAGTACGCGGATAATTCCGGCGGTCGTACGCCCCTTTCAGCGATGATCCCGTTGCCAAGCCATATGTTCGCTATCGGGGGTTTACCAATACCGTACCAGTACGATCCAGTATCGATGGATACTCAGAAGTTAGTACAAGAGCTAGTACAATATTACAGTCGGGCCTTAACGCCATGTTTTGGCCGTACCAATAAATCGGCATTGCGGTCTCCAAAACAATTGGGAAACTAGGCAAACACTAGTGTCCCAGAGAGCTCCACAGACGCCTTCCAAGTACTTTAAGACGATATCGTGCCGGCCTCACCAGGAAAAAAATGGGTCCTGGAGCGCCCCGATCACCAAGGAAATTGCTCGAAGAAGGATCTCGCCAACTCCTGTCTCCCTCTCACGATGACCCAAGCCATCTAGATCCACGACAAAATATTTTAGTTAGCGTTCGGGCGACATAGGAGACCGATCTAAGCTCCCGCAGCTTCATTAAAGGAGCTCGGCAAACATCCCTCAACTAAGGCAGCAGTGTATTGCATATTATGCTGCAACTCGAGGTAAGTATGGGACAGGATCATACCGGTACGAGTGGGGGAAGCGACCTACTTGACTTCCCAGGAGGATAACCGGGTTCCCCAAATGCATGAAAACTCTCTTGTACATGTCATTCTACGAGATATACCATGAAAACTCAGGTGATTAGACCCCTTATTTAAGGATAGGCCGAAAAAACCGGCAGGAACATGGCCCCCGTGCTCCTCTCCGAGACTAAAAATAACAAAAATTTCTCGAGCCTACTCAGAAAGAGAGTAAACCCCGGCGACATATCAGCACGCGGTCCAGTGTACGAGTTTTGTAGTGGACGTCTCCCTCGTGGTAGACCAGCCGACGATATGCAACACGCGACCTGAAAACCTGCTAACGATCAACAATAAACACTTACCACAGGTCGCTGTGAATGGTCCAATTCTTCTCATACCTTCCCCTTTGCTCTCGCCGCGGAGGCCCCAACGAAAACGCTATATCGTGCACATTCCCTCTTTCTCATCCCAGAGGATATTCACAGACCATCACTCGGAAATAGTACTTTTCATTCGTAATCAACTTGTCACAGCCAACTCGAAAGCTGGACACAGCCTCCATCCCGGATATTATATTGTATTGCTAACGTGCGAGCGCCTAGCGACCTCCAGCCGCGCATCGGTGGTCCGTAACCCCCTCCGGGCACCATTTCTCTCATTGCCGAACCTCCCCCCCTCTTTTGCATCACTGACATTCCGGCTGTGACTATCCCACATGAGGGATTTTGTGGCTAGACATTGGTAACTAGTGCTTATAATTTCTTTCCCTCTCTTAGGGGACCTGCTCTGATCTATCTAATGTCTAATATTATTATTATTTTAAAAGAAACTCTGGGGAATTCTTTTTTTTTTAGAAATCTTCCTGCCGGTCGGGGTAAATATTCGCTCCCACAGTGATATTACGTGAAAAACCTAGCTGACGCAGCGGTTGATGTCAAGAACTAATTAACCCCTGTGCAGTTAGCGGGAGCCTAGGAGTTCAATTCTCGTCGTGACTTATCATTGAACGATCTATCACGTAGGGCAGGAGGGTTAAGGACCCTGTTCCATGGGAGACTGAAGACCCTAGTAGTCCTCGGTAGGATCGCAGGTTAAACTAGATCCGCTACGAGGTGGTATCATAGAATCCGACTATGGGCCATAGAAGTCCGCGATCGGTGGGGTATGAGAGCAGGGAAAAAAAAAGATATATGCTTCCAAACCGAAGGAAAGACTTGACTCACGTGCCCCATTTTTGTCGCAAGCACTAGAGTGATCTAGTAGTACTATAAAATCAGTACAGCAGGGTCATAGACTAGTAGCCTCTTCCTACTGCACACTAGCATGCAGATAATTAATCTCAAGTATCGCACGATCGCAGGCTTCCACCGTTGAAATCAATATATATCTCCGACGCACTGCCAGTCCCGAGTAAACGCTCTCTACTCACTTACTGGTTGAGCTTCTGGGATAAATAAAGTATTAGGGTCCTCACGCCAGCGTCTGAGAGCAGATAGAGCATTGCTTGGGTTTGCGCTGTAGAGCATATGCCCGAACGGCAAGAGGCTGGGGCCGGCCAACGGGTTATGGGCGGGGCGTATGAAGAGGGGCCATCGTCCTGAATCTCGTAGTATTCGGGGTCGATCTCTTTCTCCCTTTCGATCGCCAGATAGTTACCCACATTGGCTGCTGTCTGTACCGTACAGGTCAAACACATCAAGGGGGTGGGTCTTACCGACTACTCTTATTGAAGCGAGCAGAGCCCTGATGTGTTTAGGGGGCCGAAGTAGAGACAGACGAGAGATGGCGGGAATGGGGTGGCGGAGGGGCGTGTAGGTGGAGGAGGGGCGGAAGGGTTGAGGGCTGTCGGGACATCTAGCACTTGTGGTCTCGCCAGGAGAGCTTGACCAGGGGGAACGATTGCGAAAATCTGCCATGGATCCAGTTTGCTGAAGACTCCTAACTCCTAATTGAGCTCGCCCGAGGCAGCAGATCGCGGGCCTTATCGTGGTTCTTGTGCGAACGGCTGCCGACACCCATAGGAGTAGCGGTAGGGTATTGTTGTCACGGTATTGCTTCTATTAACGGCCAAAATAGTTGCTAATATCATGTTTTGTAGTAGGGCTCTAAGCCGCGAATAGCCTACCGAGCAGTCACTGGTTCATCGTGGGCACTCGGCACAAACACAACAGCATCCACGACCAGGCAATCCAACCGCCGCAGCAACAGGCAATAGCGGTATCTCCCCGTGCTCTTATAAACGACCTCCCCGCTGTGAATCCGGCAGTGATCAGAGCCGTCGTACGGACCCGGAACATCTAGCAAACCCAGTCGGCTACGGTCTCAACATCCCCCCCAATGGAATCCCCCCCACAACCTCAAAGCCAGCAGCAACAGAAACATCATCATGAACCTCAAGAATTCCAACCGGGGGATGCCTTCGGAGTCGCTCATCCCTCCCTTGGTTCTTCCGTTACTCAAAGATCTACCGTTGCTTCCATAGCCCCTCCCGCAATCTCGATCCTTCCCGCCACTCCCGCCGAGTGTGACGACGGAACAGAGCTGCAACAATGGGAATACAGCGAACCATCGCACAATTCGTCCCATGACAGCAATAACTGCGGAACTCCTGAATCGGAGCAGGACTCTAGAAGTACAGAATATGATTATTCTGGCCCAGCTACCACTCCCGATGGCTCGGGCTCATCCAATTCTTCCAGGGGGGCATCGCCACCCCCGCCCAACGGCCCTGCCGTTTCAGTTCGGAAGACATCGAAATCACGTTCCGTGTTGGCCGCATTCTGGGATAACCACATGTCGGTTGTGGTGCCGTCTAATGCTGCGCGAGACCATCTAGGTAGGATTAAATGCTCCTCCCCTCTTACCCAATTGTCTTTCTCCCCCTCCCTCTCTCCCTTTTCGCACACACACTCTCTCTTTCTGAAAAAAAAAACCTCTTATTTCGTTCATCGCAGCCTCAATACCGGTATCCAATTCCATCCGATTTCAATGTTTGCCCCACCCAACAAACCCCTCATCAATCTTAGGGCTGCTTGGCGCTACGTTTATTTTGGCTGTGAATCATGGTTTGACAACTATGCTCGTGAACTGACCACGGCGTGCCTCCGGTCTCGGTCACATAATCCATTTCCAAGGGCCATGATTGGCCAATTTACAAGCGTGGTTGCCAAACCACGTCGCGAGGCAACAGCAAACGTCGCACCCACCAGCCCCTTACCGGTACTGTAGCCTTCTGGGGCCGTTGGATGTTCCTCCAAAGTCACACCCCCCATTAGCCACATGCTCCTTTGTGCCTCCATGGACCCGTTACCGGCAACTAGACACATCTTCTGAGTGGACCCGGCTCGCTTTGGCGTTTTGCAGTACGGGCACGACCGGTGCACTCTATTGCCTGGCTAGAAGCAAAGGGCCGGAAGACGGTAACTGGGCATCCCACATTGCTTTATGGACACGCATTCACTTATTCAATACAGATCACAGGGCATAATCAAACGTCGGCATCCAACTCACGAATGTCATTGCCCTCCGTTATCTCTCCCTCTCATCCCTTACCCGCGAGCCTAGTTGCCCATATCCCGTATCGTACCGTATCCCACGCCCCCGTCATCACGCGGATCAGTTCGCCTTACTAGCTGTCATCCATCCTAATTCTTCTACTGTACCCTTCACCCCTCATCTATGCCACGGTTCGCCCCACCAATGCCTCTCTACATCGGTCCACATACCTACACCCCTCGGTGCATGTTGTCACTCTCCGTTGTTCCTTGGGGCCCGCGGACACACTCCGACCTCGGCAGAGTTCCGGGTCGGAATCACGGACGGCTGCATGTAAGCCATCCGAACGAAAACGAGGGCCAAAATGTATTCTCATGCATACACATTTGTCTGCTCCCGCCCGAGGCTGACAGGCTTCCCCAGAAAGTAACGTAACTTATGAGTAGAGCACGTGCTCTCGGGAGACTGGACGACCGCGATTTCCCATCTCTAGAGCTTCTCAGCCTTGCAAGAAAAACAACCCCCCCCGCGCCATAAATCTATTTTCCTTTCTTTCTTTCTCCCCTTTAATTTGATTTTTACTATCCCGATGTTTTCCTTCCCTGACCGATTTCCTCTGTCTCTGTACTTTTCTATATTCACCGCAGTCCTATGATAATCGCAAACCATATACTAACCCGATTTCATTACAGCCTTGGAAAGAACCTATCTAGCCTATCATCGCACTTCTCTCGTGTTTGCTATATCCGCTGCCATCACTGCCCAATTGACCATAATTCAGCAAGCACCCACCCCCCCAATAACTTTCGGGTTCCACAATATTGGGAAGCCAATCTCGATTTTGCTAGTCTGTTTCTCGTTAGTTATATCTGTCCTTGGTATCCTCAGGTGGTGGAGGCTACAGAGTGGGCTTTTACGAGGCGCTGCAATATCTGGAGGACTAGAGGTTTGGGGTCTTGCGGGCGGAATACTCTTGGTAAGTTCAGAACTCACTCGGCCCCCTATACCGTACTAGGGATTATGGGATAATCCAAGATTGTTGTTATGACAGCAATATGTACCCAAACATACTCTGTCCAGGCAAAACGCTTGGATTGGCTTCCCCCCCGTACACTCCAGATCTCAATTTTTTCTTCCCTCAGCTTACCTTCAATCAACACTGACTGCTACGGATAGCTCACACTAGTGTTTTTTGGGTTAGTGCTTGCCATGGAGAGTAACGAGGGAGATTTAGTAGGGTTTCTACTTCACTAGGGTTACGTTATAGCGAGGCTACTCGGGGCCTCGCCGGTTTCAGTTGGCGTTTCTATTTTCTGTTTTTTACCCAAGGTACACCGGTGTCTTACGTTCACTGAGAATCTAGAGGGCCTATGGTAATCTAGGATGGACCTGTAACTCTAAACTCGAGTAACCACATCTTAGCCTTGGTCCATGTGTATGAAAGATATGTTGGTGCAATTTTTTAATTTCGGGTGCATGGAGAGCTTTCTTTGTTAGAGGATCATTCCCTTTTACTTACAGCCTTCTTTCTTAATGCTAGACTAATAGAATGAATGGTCCATACATTTACTGCCCACGTGCGCCAATGGTGATTTACCGTGCTCGTACTATCTTAATCCAACATTGCCGAATTTGTGCTATGCGCAGAATTCTGTTTGGTCGGTCCAAATACGCTGTCACGGCTGTGTACCCTGAGCTGCGGGAATGGTGCGACGGCTAGGGCGAACCAACTAGCTTGTACCCTCGTGACAAGCATCAATAAAAAGCGCACCACCTATGGTTAGTGTCACCTCTGGCTTTATTGTAAGCCAAATCTCAGACTGGGCGAGTGATCGATGATGATGACTTTCCCTGTGCAGTAATCATTCGTAAGGAAGTGAAGCTGATCAGTTTCCTGCCTGCAGGTTTCATTTCATTTTTTTTCTCCAATCTATGATCCCGAAACAAAACTACCTCCGATGCACCCTGAAAACAACAGTCTAAAGAACATAAGAGATGGATGAAAGAGCGCTGAAAGTTCTAAAAAAAGAAGGAAGAAAAAAACAAAACAAAAACAAAACAAAACAAAACAGCCGCTAAAAAGTGCAAATGGAAAGAGATAAAAGCAGAGCAAAGAAAGCATGAAATGAGGGAACGGAAGAAAGAATGAATGAAAGCCAAAGCAGGACAAAGGAAAAACAAAGAGCGAAACCGCACCAAAATCACCGACGCCACCGCTTCCCTTTCAACCAACTAACGCCCTTCGTGAGTGCCGCCAGAAATCCGTCCACTATCCAAGACACGCCCCGCTCATTCCTCGACGACTCCAACCGATCACCAACACCACCAACCTGGCACCCCCCGCAATCGCAATGCTTCAACGCGCAATCCATTTTCCCGGCGCGCTGCTTGCATTCGGGCCAGTCTTCGCCCTCACTGTGCATAGCTGCAAGTGTCGCACCGGAACACCTGTTGCTGTCGATGGCCACAGCCGCTGATGTGCCCCAATCGCCGCCATACCTCCTCCTCCGGTACACGAGCTTCCGGTCCTCGCTCTGGCTGTGCATGGATGCCGCGAGCGTCGTGCAGGAGTCCCTGTTACTGGCGACGATCGTAGTCGCTGCCATGCTCGGACCCCTATCCCCCCCATGTATCGTGCAGTGCTCGAGCGTGCAGGACATCTCCCGGAAGATCTCGAATGTGGACCGGTCTTTGCTCATATTTTGCACGCGCTCTGGTGCAAATGTTGTTCCGGTACGCTTGCTGTCGAGGGTAGCGCTGGCAGTATCGTGGTTTCCCCCCGGGAACAACGGCGGCGGTTTTCTCTTGCGCTTCTTGGATGCTGGAGGCGGTTCCAGCAGCGGGTCAGTCAATAGCAAGCTCTGTTCTTCGTAAGGAACACCCGGCATCATAATCCCGAGCCCAATGGGAGGCCCTTCCCTCCGCTCATCAGGCGATAGTAGCGGCGAGCTCTGGTATTCATATGTTGCTCCCGGTGGTGTTTCTGGAATTGGTTCGGGTCCGGGAGGCTTCTGCTCGTAGGTCAATTCCGCCTCTTCGATTCCTGAGACCCACCGTTCGTACGCCGTAGCTGTGCCAGCGCACCTTTCACAGATCCTTCCGAGCCCCGACGATGTGTGACCGCACGGCGGTGGGGGCTGGGGTGTTATTGGCATGATGGGGTAGCCAATACTTGGGTTCCTGGCAGGTGTTTTCGGCGTCGCGGAGACGCCGGCGCTTGGGGTCGTGGCGAGCGACTGCGGGATTGTGGGTGTCCTCGGGCGGTTCTGAAAATTGTATGCCGACCCAGCCGGGCTAACCATTAGGCTATAGGGGGTCCGTGGGCTTCGAAAGCTTCGAGGGCTGTCTTTACCGTCACTGCCTTCGGTGGATTGGCACCCTTGAGAGGGGGCCCCCATCGGGGATGGGGTTCTCCGGGATTCTTTCTCCTGCCGTTGCCGTTTCCATCGCCCGAGGGTACTTTTGATTAAGGTTTTGAATCCAACACAAAAGACGGGCGGCCCATTCTGCGGTGATGATGGGCGTTCGACGTTCTGCGGGACTGGTACCTGGACTCCGAAGAGGACGCAGAGGGGAAGGGAGATCAGGGGGTAGGCGGAGCAATCGCCTAGATTGTTGTTTTGCTGCTGCCGCTTATCCTTCTCGCTGGGAGGTGGTGGCCGGAATCCACACCGCGACGAGAATATCCCCATCGTAAAGTGTCTCTCTCGCGTCGGATCTAATCTGATCTAGGCAAATGTGCACCAGTGCTTCTCTGCCCGACCCGATATGCTTTGTCGTGCTTGTGTTTTGTCTTGGTGGGGGTGTTAGTAAGGAAACAAGATCGCTGGGATGGGATGAGCAGGGGGAGGGGTAGATTTATACTTCACATTATTCGCAATCCAGAACAGAACAGGAGGAGCAAGAGTTGGGGGCACGACAACCTTTAAAATACCCTTAGAGAGCCAGGCATCAAAATGCGCACAAACCACCATGCCGTCATAGCGGCTATCGTCCAATAGAACCGTAAAGAAGGTGGGGGGGGGGGGGGAGTCGCTGCACAGAGCGGAAGAACAGAAAAAAGGCATCAGCGTGCACATTGCGTCCCCTCTTCCCACATTCAGCAGCCAATAATTGCACAACACAACAGTACGAGCCTTGAACGCGCCTCTGCGCACCAGGAACAAGTACATAGCACCACTGGGATGAGCATGATATCAGTATCAGGCTAGCCTATTCCGCTGGCAATACAGCAGAGGCGGGTAACGACAGCTGTTCACTGAACAGGAGGATACCGACGCCGATTAAGTAGATTAGGCGGCGAGGCGAGGCAGATGTGCTCCGACCGTCAGAGTTTTTTCGGAGTGGTAAGGTGCAGCAGGACCTCTTCCAGAAAACTTAAATCATGGATGGCATCGTGATGAGCGTAGGTAGTGTTGGCGCTGACTGGAGTACCGCATTCGAGTTGCCGTTTTCTTGCATGAGGCTCTTACGGGGGGCCAATCGGCGCCTGCGGAGGTGTGGGGAGGGGGGAACAGATTAGGGCTGCTTTGTATCACGCATCAGACAAGTCGGAATTGTATCATAACTTGAGTACAGTACCGGCACCGTAATACGACGAAGTATAGGTATACATCTCACACCTCCCTAGAATGACGTTCCGTGTATGCCAGCAGGAGCGAATCTCGCGAGCACTCTCTGGAGGGGAAAAAAAAAATTAAACGTCAACACTACCTGCGTCTACCCCTTCCCCTCGTACAGCCACAATATCAGCCTTCCCGAATCTGAAGCAGTTCATGATGATCCCCCTAAGTTCCTCTCTGGCTGTCACCCTGAACCTAGTGAAATTCCTCGTGCCCGTCGATGACGACAACTTACTCCCTCTCCCCCTAAATCTCAGCCTCAAACCGTCACTTTCGAGTACCGGTAGCCCTTCCCACCCCTCCTCCCCTCCGGAAATTCTCGATGGCCGGGATCGTTTCATAGGGCTTCACCAATTCCCCGGGAGCCTCCCAGAGGTTTGGAAATGTGAGTTCGCTAACGGCGCGGCGGATGAGCAGGGGTTTTCGGTCATTTTGGAATCTTTTGTTAGTGGTGAGCGGGGAGGAAAAAATCTTCTTGTCTTGAAAAAAAAATCTGCGTGGGCGTGGGCGCGAGCCCTTGCTCGGGTACCGGTACTCGAGTACTCGAGTAACTTACCGTACTCGTACTCGTACCGGTATGATACGAGTGCTGATATTAGTGACCGGACAGACGGGGGTTCGGCATGTTAAAAGTTTTTTTTTACCTTTCCGGGCCCCGTTCCTACAAAATTAATTCACCTTTTACCTTTAACGGTAATTAGCGCTAAGGCCCAGATACCTATCTATCTCATCACAACGGTGATCTCTACAAGTACCGTACCATGCTTGCCTGCAGGAGCTTTTGTCAATCTGGGTCTGTGCACAGGATGTCAAAGGTTACAAGAGATATCACATTATGCTCGAGTACTTCTACATGTACTCGAGATACCCGTTGGGGGAGGATGGTGGCTTAGCAGGTGAATCATTACCATTCATAAAAGGTCACTCGATTGGCTAATGGCCATGTTTCTGCGCGTGTTTCGGCCCAGCTCGCGTTCATGACAGGTGCACTTGTACTAGTGCTGGTAGTCTTACGCTTCAGGAGATTTCTTTTTTACAGGGGATTGCTGCCTTCTGGTGGGAATATCTCTGTGCTGGCCGCTCCGGCACCGGATTGCTGGATGCGATTGGCCAAGTAGTCCAGGTGGGTGGGGGGCTGTACCATACCGGTACCGCGTTACTGGTGTCTCGCAAGGGCCGGCGGAAACTTATACCGTACGTTGAAATAAGAAACGGCTGGGATGAAACATGTAATTGCGTCAAAATTTAGAGCCCTGAAAGGTTTAATTAGGTGCAGCAATTATCAGAAGAAAGAAAACATTCGAACGTACTCGAGCCTGGCGGCTTTGATACCAGTAATGCGGTAATTGGCTCGTGCTCGATCGAATTGAAGATGCATGATCGTCGCTTGAAATACCGGCGCTTGGCACGACAGTGTTTGGGTAACCTGTGGTTTCCTATTCCGGGATTTATAGTGTTGATCGAGGGAAGCTTGATGCTACGGCCATGAGACTACCCCGCGGACACCCACACTGATTGGTATTGGGATGTGGATTAAGATGCCACAGAAGATCAATGGGGTTGCTACATCTGCCTGATCCTTGCCGCTTTTGGTGAGAGTATTGTGGTAAGGCGGTGTAAGTCCCATAATACCGTATGAGGTTCTCTCGTTCTTGTTGTAAATTTATCAACGAATGATCCCCGCAGAGGCTCCCCAATCCATATTCTCAACACTGATTTGGTTAGCCACGGGTTAATGATCATAATCGCAAGGCGCTCGGATTTAGTGTACACTTCTTTTGTCCGGGTAAGTCTACCCCAGACATTGTTTTCGATGGCCTGCGCATGATTCTGAATTTCTGATGAGCATACCATGCCAGCCGTTCTCAGGTGTGGGAATTACCGTACAACTCTTTGAGCCCAGGCCAAGGCAGTTCCCGCAGGGCCTGGGACATGTAAGGCAGCCGATTACACCATAGTTGAACCACTTATCCACATCCTATTCCAGAGGGTTTGAAAAACCGCTAGTATATTGGTAGGCTGCAGTTTCAAATTTCCAACTTACATAACGTGGAAGAGGGTAGGAGAAGTGCGAAGGGTCAGCACTATCGTGATTCGCTACTATCGGATTCATTGCACCCGGCGGTAGAGACGTTAGGAAACTCGATTTGACTAATTGTGGTGCCTTTTTGGGAGGAAACGGGAAGGCCTAGGCCCAAGATATGTGCATTATTAGTTGTGGGTTTAATTGATTATGATGTCTACTCTGATTATCCTGATGGCGACGCCTGAAATCTTGGCTTTCTGAAAAAGCTCTTATTTTTACTACAAGCTAGGAATTCTGTGAATCTAGAATACGGTGAGAATCCAAGAGGAGTGACCTTCACCACAGAACTACCCCAGGTTCACTCCAGCACTGCGGTCCAGAACTCTGTGTTACGTTACTGAGGTTGCATCATTTAAGTTACCCTCCGGCCTCCCACTCCCCCATCTTTACCTAACTTATACTTCGGACAATATTACCGGTCGGCTTACCCTCGACTTGATCCCCACGTCTTCATTCGCCAATTCAACACCAACCTCACCTCACTTCTCATCACCACCAAGCGCCATGTTCAACGACAATCTCCTCATCTGCAGGGCTTGCGGAACCCAATTCGATACCTCCGATCGGAATGTGCTCAAAAACTGTCGAATTTGTGATGTTTGCTCCCTCCCTTTGTTCAAGCCTGCGACCGGAGCTGACAGAGCTACTTGTAGGACCCCCGCCAGTTTGTTCCTCCGACCGGACAAGAATTCACGACTCTCGTAGAGATGAAAGGTAATTACGAGACTATGATGGCCCCAGATAAAACCGACGGTAATATAATTTCCTTGTGGACCGAGCCGAAAGTACTGTTGCCGTTTCACAACCGCTCAGGGGCTTGGGGCTAATGGGGTAGCGTACAGTTCGCGATCGGTCAGCGTGCCTTCTTGATAAAAACGCCTCATGGAAACGTCCTATGGGATCTGATAACTTACCTTGACGATGAGAATATCCGAAGAATCAACGAAGAGGGCGGGATCCAGGCTATTGTGATTTCACACCCACACTACTACACCACCCATAATCTCTGGGCGAAAACGTTCGGTTGTCCGGTATACCTCGCAACGGAAGATAAAGAATGGCTGTGTCGGGAGGATCCCCAAGGGAGAGTCTTCATAGAGGGGAACGAGGAGGAGGTTGTTAAAGGGGTAACGGCAGTTAAAGTGGGAGGACACTTTCCGGGCAGTTTAGTTCTACACTGGGGAGACAGACTATTCATTGCTGATTCGTTTGTCACTGTGCCGGTACGTTCTTTAAGGATTTACGTTTGCGGCAGCCGGCTAATGACTGTAGAGTGCGTTGTATCACGAGGGTAGACTACCGGGGACCGCCTCTTTTAGTTTTATGTGGTCAATTCCCAATATGGTAATTTCTTTGATGCTGGTCGGTATGCTTGTCTAACAAGACCAGATAACAATGCCGCCGCAAGCCATAGTAAATATCTGGAAGGCCTTGAAGCCTTATAAATTCACGACTACCCATGGCGCATTCACGGGGATGGATGTTAGGGATTCTAGGGTCAAAGCACGGCTATTGGAGAGTGCTAAAATTGCAATTAGGGCGATGGGGTATGAGGAGAGCCAGTTCATTGAGGAGCTGTCTGAGTAAGGATTGGCACAATGACCACTTTTGCGGATTCATGCATCATCTATATACTCCGGCGTTAGTGTGGAGAACGGTGTTGTAAGATCCCTTAAGACAGATACGGGGATGTCTCATAATCGTGCACAAAGGATGCTAGGTCCTAAAGTGGAAAACATGAGCCTTCATAACATGGTGTCTGGGGAAGGGAAATGAGGCCCGACGGCTCGGTACCCTTCCCCGCCCTGTTAGTAGCATAATCCCGAAGCAGGTGCTTGGTTTTGATAGTAGCAGTGAATCACACAGGAAGGTCCTCTGCTAAATTTGGTTTCCTCCCGCAATCAACCGCAGAACTCGGCCCGGGGTTTGATAAAAGACCGGGATGTGCCGAAAGCTTCCAGGGCTGGTACGACACATCACTCTTCATTGGGGGCTGTAGTCCCCGAAATGGCCTTTGGAGCCTTTTGCACACTCCTGTGCCTTTACCATTGCCTCTTGGCCCCTGCTCCTCTATATTACTGTGGAGTCTATTCTCTCTTTTCTGGTTCGGCTGGAGGCTTGAAGGTCAGGAAAGCTGCGGAGGTATAGAAACGATGGATGGGTGATGCTTGAGGGTGGTATACACTATGTACCCTGGATCAGTCAGCCCTAGCAACCTACGAAGCTATGACCCTGCACGGAAGGCTCTTACCGCTGAGGTTAAGTGCTCGATATCAACCCGTATGCGCAGTCGTATAGCCATCAGGACGGGAGGGTCCATCGGAGGAGGTCCAGGGGGTTTGCATTATAGGGAGTTTAGTGCTGGGGGAGGGGAGGGTAAAGGGTGCAAGACTTTTCCTAGACTAGGGCCTTGGAATGACTGTAAGGCGGAGGTTCTAACAATCATGAATAGGTGTCGGTGAAGATTACCCCCATGGACGCGAAGAACTAAGGCAAATAGGCGATGAATAAATGGATGTTATTCTAGGTCCACTGTGAAAAGCAGGGGGTATGCCATCTTCCCGTGAGGCACGGTGAAAGCCTCGAAGGCTAGAGAAAGCGCTGTCTTTTGTTATAGCTTTCCCGTGCGGGATCTTCGTTAGATCCTCTGCTAGGATTTGGATGATGATTCGAAGGTACTGTATAGTTGGTGCGCAATAGGGAAAATAGGTCTGTTTTGGAAGGGGAGGATGCGGGTCGCAGATCTGAGAGGAGGGCGGAGGGTGCAGGAGGGAAGTGTTGAATATCTGCCAATCTGATATCTGGGATATCTGGTTATTAGGTGGAAACAACAGGTATTTTGAATGTACCTTCTGGGCACTTATTTTGATCCGGCTTTTGCAGAATCAATTAGATCTAGTTACTATAATAGACTACCCGGGAGGAGCAGGGTCCTGTTGCAGGTTAGAAGTTATTATGTTGATGGCTTGTAGTGGTGATGTTCTAATGTTGTAATAAGCAACCCCTCTTAGCTCCCGTCTCCAGGACAAGACGCGGCTGGAATGGAGGCTCAAGCGAGCATTATTGGTTGATATTATAAAACAGACAGCTCACAAATTCTACTAAAACATATCGTACTTGTTATAAGGTGATTTATCAGTTGTAATCGCGCCCGCAGAAACTAGCTACGATGTTCCCTGCGCAATTACAAACCCTACCCTCCTTGACCCCGCAATAATCAACTTATGCGATGACTCCATCCGCGGATACGATAAAGTACCTTTCTCGTGTAGTATTGACGGCTGGGGAGCATCGGTAGACCAGCTTTGCGAAAACCGCGATGTGATGTGATTATCCAGTTCCCATCCGGAAGCTCCCCCCGGGGGATGAGGATATGTCGCGCAGGCGAGGTTTCCGAATTACGAACATAAATAACACCCTGAAGGGTCATCTGGGAAGTGATTGCCCGTCTAACTTAGGTTTGCAACGAAGCCAGGTATCCTAAGGGAATTCAATGGCAATTCATTACAGGTATTTCACGATCGCAATTTTCCTTACGGGCACTTCTACAATGAGGGCAGGTCTGGGCGCCCCGTGGAGTATCTACCAGTTGGTGCGGCCGATGTTCTGGATCCTGCTTTGGGGAGTCTTTCAATCGGGGTTGGTTGTATGCCCCGAGTTTGTTGATTCCTGTGTTCAGACTCATGTATCGTCACTGGGGAGGCGAATTGCCTGTAAATGTTGAAGATTGTGGGAGAAGACATAATTCTTATTCCGGTGGGCACACAAGGTTATAATATATACTCTAAAATTAGCGGCCACCCGCAGTGGTCCATCCGGTGCCAAGAAGACTTTATCCTTAGTCGAGTGTAACTGGTGAAGACCTCATTTCCGCAACTTCTTAGCTGTCTACTGTACTGGGAAGTCTACTGGTGGGATCGTGGGGAGCCGCGATTTCCTGTAGTAGATTTTGGTGAATTCGCTGGAGACTCTGGTGACACGGGCACTCCATTTGCTGGGACTGTTAAAAACCACTATTCGAGCTGGGTGGGATTCACCACGCTATCAGGCCGTGTTGGACCGCTGGATACAATGCTAATTCTGTATATAAATCCTTCAACAACCCCCCCTATGAACTCCTCTACGAAAGCTAATTCACTGGGCTAGAGGAATCCACGGATCGAGCCTTGCACCCATGAGCAAAGAACCGTCTCCGAGCTGAGCGGCGGAAAGACTGCTATTTAAGCCGCTAGGAAAGCTCATCCTGGAACCTGGCATCATACATGAAAAAAAAGTATTTAAGCCCGACTTCTCAGTCCTCCTTCTGGCTCAGCCTAACTGTCACATACTTCTCGGCCGGGACCTTCGCCGACGATCCCCCGGATGGAGGATTTTCTGTCTAGAGATTGCTCGACCTAGTAGTCGATAGGAACGGTAAGACACTGGGGTATTCGATGGGAGTGCGTCCCCTGCTGGTCTTTGGATCTCACAGGTTGCGTCGGCAATGAGGTCGGCGGCTGGCGGCGAGCCCTTCCTCCCCCGGTGAGCACTGTACTATACTATGCTATACGGAAAAGCCAGCCGCGTTGGTAGAGTCAACATTATAGACACCTTCGAACAAGGGCTCTTGGCCTCCAATATAACACTCCGGTCCGCGTACCGCTAAGCACACAAAGTGTATCTGCGCAGCCGCTGGGCGGTGGTACTGCGGTCGAACTACCTGGCGAGTACGGCTGGTATAGCGAGTACAAATTCACTGCACCGATCGACCTACATGGTCTAGACCGGTCCCGCGCGAGCCACCACCCCGCGTGCGGGTATTTACCTGTTCACCAGCGCGGCGGGGGTTTTTTTTGAATAGAAAGATTCCCGGTCTCGCGCTGGTTATCACGATCCTATCAGGGTTCGCGGAGTATGCTGTTCGGGGGGGGGGGGTGAGGTCAAGGAGGGTCGTTAAACTGAATATGGCTCAGCGTAATAGGAATAATGATCATCGGGATTCAAATTCCACTTCTGGTTCCACCGGTGTGCTGGGTGCGGGAGGGAAAGGTTACGTTAGAGTTGGGGATGTGGGATGGTGAGTTAGGCTCATGTTTAACATACTCGAGTACACTCCCTGAAATTATTGCTCTTTCTACCGCGTTATGGGACTGATCGTTGTGTTGTCCTGGTGATGACTTCGCCATGCCCCGAGGAGAGGAACTCGCATTTGGTACCTTGGGAGGGGCAATGGCGCGCTTCGGCAGTACCGCTAAAGGGAAAGTAATAGGGAGACAGTAAAGTGAAGTAGAGATAGCAGCGAGCGAAGGGGTATTGATATCCAGCGGGGGGTTAATAGGTGGCGTTAATATATACTTTGGGAATCAGGAGTGTGGATGTCCAGTGGGGTGTTCGGGGTTGGTTGTTTTATGTTCGGAGCACGAAACTGCTACCGTACTTACTCGTTATAATAAGAGAACGGTGTGCTAGTAGCTTAACTTAAGGTGGATCACTGCCTAGTAGATGCCGCGATAACATAAGTGGTCTGTGCAATATCAATAAAAGTGGGAAAGGCATTTGAAAGAGCCATCCCCGTATATCTTTTCTCTGCACTTGGCACGATTCAGTTTACGCAGCTTGTGCCATACTTTAAATTCACCTACTAGTGCACCGTTCTCTTGTACGAGTTAATGAGCTGCGCGGGAGCCTTAGGGCTTGCGGTAATCCGATGTTCTAAACGTTCAAAAGCAACCACCGAAGGATTGAGTTTCAGCACTTGCCTTTGGGCTCCACGGTTACATACGCTGGGGGCAAGTGAGCTTGATTCAACGTGATGAACGTCTTGAAATAAGGAGATATGGTATCATAAATCAGAATTACAGTGAGCTATTATGCTTCCTTGCTCAAATGGAACCACCAGTCCTTCAGCGGGGAGAGTGAGCACCACTTGAGTAGGCACTCTGATTCATCCAAAGCTCTCAGTAAAAATCTTGATACGCTGTGCATCTACTACCATACCTGAAATCAAAATCTAGTGGTAGGGCATTCACGAGCGAAATTGGGCTTGAGCTAAGTTCGTATAATATCTTCTGAATTACCTCTTAGCTAGTACCCAAAATATCGTTGAGATTACCGGGGGAAGTAATTCGCTAGCCGACTATAGGTTTATCTTGGGAAATCAGGAGAATCGCGAATACCAGTTAACGGGATCTAGCACGTCCTGAGTTGAACCTGTACAGTACTGTGTCAGGAAAGCGCTAATGCTTCTCACGGGGTTTTGTCTCTGAGCCTGACGGTTATAGGCAGGTTGGAGAGAGCGGATTTCACGAGTCTTTACGGCAGGCTTGGAAAATTCAATAGAAACTTGGTGGTCAACACTAAAACTGGAGGATTTCACAATACCGTACCTGAATCATCCTCTACGAGAAGCACTTAGGGTGTGAGCATAGGTCTGCTGTGTTTTCAGTTGTTCGTCGAAGTTACCAAGGTATCGGACAGGTGAGAGGGTCAGATGTGGAGGTGGATCATCTTGTATGTGAATTGTTCTCGAATCCGCGCTGCGGAATTTTCGCCAAAATCAAAGCTCTGAATTCAGTACAAAGAAGCGAATATCTAACATGTTGCCCCGTTAGGAGTATCTCCTGCTCTTCTGAGCATCCTCTTCCTGGGGTTGGACGTCAATTGAGATTTTCGAGATTTTGCGATTTTTGATGTGTTTTTGCTGATTCACTTCTCCGTCCGACCCACTTCTCGGCCCAATACGTCATGGTGGGAAACTTTTTTTTCAGTAGCTGCTCGGCCAATCTGTTTGAGTATGCAGATCTTTGGAGAAGGAAAAAAGCCTGTTGATCCCTCGCCCGACGGCTAGGGAGAATGCAGGTCTCCGAATGGTCGAGGGGCAACTGGGCCAACCAGAGGGGGTCCAACAAACTCACCCTAGACACCCTGTACCGTACGGTGCAGGGTTCCTTCGCACATAGAGCCTTAGGGTGCAAGATTTGATATTTTTTTTCTTCTCCTCGCCCTGCTACAGAGCACCGCAGTGGGGTGTGACACGTGTCCACCTAGAAAAGTGGCTGTCACTAACTATTTGGCATGGGAGGGACACATGGCAGAAAACCATACTAAATTTTAATGCGCCTCGCTCTATATAACGTAGGCAAAAGTAGAGAAATGATATACCGGTAGGGCACTACAGTATCTTGGGGTCAACCTCAAAGCGGCCTATGTGGGTCGAAAGGCCGGAAAGAAAGAAAGCGCCCCGATCGCGGTCCGCTCTGCCCGTTGTCGGTGAATTTCCCGAGGCCAGTGCTAGCCCACCCGAGTGAGCACCTGTGAATGCCCCAACCTGAATCCCGGTCCAAACAATCCGGGGCCCAGAACACGGGGACGGCACGGTAGCTCTTTCGGAATTGAAAACACGTTTCCGTCTGTCTATCATTATAGTGCCGTACGCCAATTCTTGACACAACACCCGGAAGCTAGTCGATATTGTGACGCGAATGCTGTCTCGCTAGGCACTAGAGCGCTGCGGAGACCCAGCTTTTGGATATGTCCGGGGTTCCGGGGAGGGGTAAACCTCTCCTTTCTCTTATGTATGATACCGTATTATAAACGCTATGATAGTCTTTTTTTTTCTTTTCCTTTTTTATGATAGCAGGTGGACCATTCATCCCCGCATTAGGAGGCTGTATCGTACTTCACGGGCTATGAACTCGTTCGCTCACTCGTGTACGATATTCGCGTAACGTATTCTACGCCGTAATGAGCCATCCACCCGAATACCAGCCACTATTTCAAATCTCAACCACTCACGTTGCCCAGACTTGCAGAGGGCTCGCTATGGCGCGGGATACGCTGTCGTATTCGTTTCATTGTTT